TAGTGGTTATGAAATAGGCTGCAAACCTCAAGGTCAGCAGTTCGAAACTACCAGCTGTTCCACGGGAGAAAGATGAGGCTTTCTGTTCCAGTAAAGATTTACAGCCTCAGAAACCCTGACAGGGTTGCTATGAGTGGGAATCGACTCCACCGCACATAACCACCAAGGGTCACCCATGGTGGACAGGTATTAAATGAGCTTCCAGATAAAGACAGACTAGGAAGAAGGAGTGACGAACTACTTCTGAATATTTAACCACTAAAAACTTTATGAATAGCAGAGACGCACTGACTGACTCATTGTTGTTAAGTGCCTTTGAGTCAATTCCGACCCATAGCGACCCTGTACAGGGTTTTTAAGGCTGTAAATCTTGACGAGAGTAGAAAGCCTCATCTTTCTCCCGCGAAGCAGCTGGTAGTTTCGATGCTGACCTTAAGGTTCGCAGCCCAATTTGTAACCACTACGCTACCAGAGCTCCTTGATAGCAATCCTGTATAAGGTTTCTGAGGAGAAGCTGGTGGTTTTGAACTGTAGACTCTACGTTTCAAGTCCAGTGCTAATCCTACAGCGCCACACCAGGAATCCAACAGTGGGTTGCAACTCATAGCGACCCTGCATAGGGTTTTTTGGAGGAGCTGCTGGTGGATTTGAACAGTCAACCTTACGGTTCCTGGTTCAATGATGACTCATAGTGCCACACCAGGAGTCCCAAAGAACTGGCAACAGAAGATGTCATGCCAATGATTTATATCCCGCATTAGGACGAGGGTGCAAGGTGTGAGTTGCGCAAGATCAGGCGCCTGCGCAGCAGGAACTAAGGTCTAGCACTCGCACGTCGCACCTTTCCGCGCAGCCTTACGCGCTGCTCTGTGCGCAGGCGCTTGGGTCTGGCGTCGTGTTGCGCGACGCGGTGCCTTTTGGAGCTACCAGCAGACATGGCGGCGGGCGGTCTTCGCGGTCTGGCGGTGGCTGGCGGAGGCGAGAGTAGTGAGAGTGAAGATGATGGCTGGGAGATCGGGTATCTCGACCGGACGTCTCAGGTAGCGCTCCAGCCCCTGCCGTGGCCGCAGCTGGTATCAGTCTCCCTCGGCCCTCGAAGACGAGTCCGTGTGAAACTTCTTCCAAGGGACATAATGGGTTTGGGGACCCCAGAAAACACTCCGAATTTCTCGCATATACCTGAACTGTGCTTTCAATCAAGAGCGCTTCCTCTATGGGAGCATTTTCGGTCCTGTGGCATTGTTTTATTGGTGGCAGGAAGTGGAGCTGGCGTTTCCAGGCCTTGCTTGCCCAGAGAAGTCAAGCGTGGGCCCTCCGTGCCTCGGGGTTTCGACTCATCGTCCCCCCCATTACCTTTAAAGATTGTTTTAGACGTGGATTCTTTACAATTTGGGTATTCGCAAAAATAAATAAATAAATAAAAATAGGGGGTGGGGTAGTGGTTTACCGAGGCAAATATATATGTAACGAAAATTTCTTTTCAATTTTTTGCTGCTTTAGAAATTAACAGGTCCGTTACCTACTGGAGAAAAGAATGAAATATTTAAGAAAGCACTGACTACAGGAGATATTTCGTTGGTCAAGGAGCTCCTAGATTCTGGTGAGATAAAGGGACATAAGTTCGTTTCACAGTTTTTCTGAATTCACAAGTGTTCCTTATTCAGGTTAGGCTGCCTTGCTAATGTGAGCGTATACCAGGTGTCCCGTAGCCAATCCCATTGCTGGCCATTCCGAGTCATAGCTGTCTTGTAGGACTGAGTAGAACTGCGCCATGGGATGTTGGAGACTGCAGAGCTTTACTGAAGCTGAGTGCCTTGTCTTTCTCCCTAGAAAACACCTAGTGGAACTGCTATCTTCTGGTTAGCAACCCAATGCTTCAGCCAGTGTTCAAGTGTATCTTGGTGGTGGTGCTTGTGTATCATCAAGTTGGTTCCAACTCATAGCAACTCTGTATAGGGTTTCCAAGGCTGTCGATCTTTACAGGAACAGAAAGTCCAGTCTTTCTCCCACATCAGGGCATCTTGTTTTTGTTAAGAGCCAGCAAGCAGATTCCGACCCATAGCAACCCTATATAGGGTTTCCAAGGAGCAGCTGGTTAGCTTGAACCACAACCTTGTGGTTCAAACTGGCTTTGCAGTCTAGTGCGTTAACCCACAGCTCCACACCAGGGCTCAGGGAACCTTGGTAGTGGTTGGTGGTTATGTGCTGTGGAGTCGGTTCCGACTCATGGCGACCCTGTACAGGGTTTCCGAGAGTAAATCTTTACTGGAACAGAAAGCCTCATCTTTCTCCCGCGGATGCCCCATATATCTTCCTCTTGATTCTGAGCTCTTGTCTGCTTTATTTTCTCCCTCTGCTCTCAAATTTAGAATGCCACCTGATTACCTTCTATTAGTTCTTCCACATCCTTGAGGTCTACTTCCATACTTCTTTCTTACTTTTCTCAGCATTTTACTTGACTGATATTATGGGGTACCTGCATGGTGTTAAAGGAGCTCTGGTAGCGAAGTGGTTACCTCAAGGTCATCACTTCAAAATTACTAGCTGTACCATGGGAGAAAGATGAGGCTTTCTGCTCCCGTAAAGATTTACAGCCTCGGAAACCCTGTACAGGGTTGCTATGAGTCAGAACCGACTCTACGGCACACAGCCAGCCAGCCAGCATGGTGTTAACAGTTAAGTACTTGACTAACTGAAAAACTGGCTATTCCAGCCCGCCCAGGAGATGCCTTGTAAGAATGGCCTAGCATCTGCTTTAGAAAAGTCACAGCCTTAAAAATCCTATGAAATACAATTGTATTCTGCAATACATGGGGTCACCATGAATCAGAAATAACTGGGCATATGGTATTGTTCATTTTGTAGTATAATAGTTCTTTAAGAATTGTTTCCTTGTTAACTTATTCTTAACACTTGAGAAGGATCTGTGTGGCTGCCAGCATGGAACGTGAGTTTATAATTAAAGACTAAAATTTGAAGAAGTCTTGCAAGATCTGTTTGAACAGCAAGGTAGGCAGTTCAAGCTCACCAGCCACTCGAAAACCCTATATAGGGTTGCTACCGACTTGACAACACTTAACAACAGCTTAGTAAGGACATGTAGAAGTGTGCATTATGTTGGATTGTGTTGAATATAGGTATAAATTCGTTGAAAAAACTAAAAATTGTCTTGGGAATAGTGGAAATAAGAGGTAAAATGTAGGTTATGGAGACTTCAAAGATTAGGACTTGATATGATTGATGGGCAAATGAGATAGTCCATTCTAAAAAGTTTTTAGCCAACCTTTTAAAACTTGTTTTTAACTAAAACCCATTTTTAAAGCTCACTTTTAAAAGGCACTGATAAGTATATGGCTATAGGAAGAGGTATCTTGCTTGTGTTGCCACTCATAAGAGGTCTCCCTACCCACTGACCCAGTCTACACAGTGATAACCTTTATAATATGTATAGGTACAAGAGGGCTTAAAAAACTTCCATTATCTTTTTAAGCATGCTGATACAATGATGTTGTTTCCTTCATCAGTATAGTCTGCATTTCTTACCAGCTTTCATAATTTCACCTGGACCTCTCTTTATAGCCTCACATGTTACTAGACTTCCATGAGTAAGTTTTGTGTCTGGAAGGAAATTAAGGGAGTTTTTCCTCAAAATTAAGGTATTTTCAGTCATGTGTAATATTCATGTATGATATTGCCAGGGATAATATTCTAATAGAAAAGATAATGTTTCTTTGAGAGTTATCCCAACTTCCCTAAGAATAAAAAGGTAGCATGTAAACACGTTAGGTTGTTGTTGCTAAGAGCTGGAGAATTCGTTCTGACTCATAGCAACCCTTTATAGGATTTCTGAGGCTTTAAGTTTTCAAGGGAGCAGAAAATCTCATCTTTCTCCTGAAAAGTGGCTTGCAGACTCAAAGCATGGACCTTACGGTTCCCAATCGATTGCTTATTGTATGGAGCTACTGCGCTCCTAAAACAGGTTGTAATACAGGTATATTTTATATGATAGGACAGTGGTTAGGTGAGGTGTCTTAGAACATTTCCTTGTCAATAAAAAGTACATGGTGTATATTTGTCTTTGCTTGCTAGTGCGCCATAACAAAATACCACCATAAAGGTGGCTTTAAAGAATAGAAATTTATTTTATCACTGTTCTGGTGGCTAAAAGTTCAAAGTCTAAATCAACGTCTCAACTGAATTGATTGCTTCTGTGGGCCAATTTCTTAGTTTCTGGTGACTGCTGGCAGTCTTTGATGTTTTATACAGTGTATGAGAATACAAGAGGGCTTCAGAGAATTCGTGGGAAAATTCTGTTATCTTTCAGTTCTCTTTTTCCATGAAATTTTGAAGTTCATCTCCTTCCCCTGCACATGGTATCTGCTTTTCCACAGTCCCCCTTCTTACAAGGTACTACTTAGGAGGGATTGGTCCCTGGCTTGCACAGTGAAAGCACTGGACTGCTAACCGCAGGATCCATGGTTTAAACCCCACGCTGCTCTCCTCTTTTTTTTTTTTTTTTTAGAGTTGTATTGTGAATTATGTGATCATTTACATGGGAGGACATTAGCTTTACATTCATCCTAGCGTATACCATTTCATTGTCATGGTTACAGTCCCCTCCATGCATCATCAACCAACCAAAGAGAATACCCTGCAAGCCTGCCCACCTGCACACAACCCCTCTCCCTCTCTGGGTCTAAAGTCCCCAGCTACTCCATCTCTCCACGTCATTGTCTCTGCCTCCATCTCTGGTGTCACTGCTTCCCTGGGTAGGGTCCTGCTCTCTGCTCCTCCTCCTTGATGGTACCAGGGACCTCTGCTCCTAGACTGCACAGTCAATCACTCCCCTCCTTTTGCTACAGAACGTCTACCTTTACATTTCCAACCCTCACAATCAGTCCTGATAACAAATATTCACTATTGTATCACAAGAGATCTGTCCACATCTCCTTTCATCTACCCAAACCAGACAGATCGGATACTACTCAGTGGAGATTCTACCTTCCTTCACGCCCTCTGGATCTAGGCTCCCTCTTGAAAGTTTATAAGCCAGTCACTTCTTGCCTTTGTAGCCCCCCTCCCCTAATTTTGGGTAGCCAGTGTCCAAGTTGCCCTTCCCTGTCTACTTTGTATATGAAGGGGTTGGGAATAACTCTCACGTTATAGCTTTGTTCCCTCTTTTGAGCTACTGCATCCATAGGTGTAGGTCAAGTTCATCAAATTGTATCAGATTACTCTTTTT